TATATATATATTAGCTGTGCCCACCACCTTCTTTATAAACCTTTGCTTTGTTCAAATGTTTGCCGTGTGCTAACGGTTCTTTTTGCATCAACAGTCCAATCGAACGGAGCACATCGCAGTAAGAACCTGGTTCAAATCCCTSAGTGACCTCCGAGGCAAAGAGCGATCCCTGCTTCACGGAGACTACTACACTCTGAACTCTTCGGCCTCGTCGCTCGCGTTCCTCCGTGTCTGGGACCAGAGRGAAAGATACATAACTGCTGTTAACTGGGGAACACAACCAACAAAACTAAAACTGACCCTTCCGCCCACAGGTAGGTCACGGTTCAGCAGAATCCTCTGGTGTTTAAGGTCCTACTGGAGGTTGATGTGTGATTTTTCTTTCTGTAGATGAAGCAAAGTTGCCAGAGTCGGCGAAGGTGAAGATGACGACAGATACAGATTTGAAAGAAGACTCTTCGGTCCACCTGGACTCCATCACCTTAGGTTCTGAAAAGGCAGTCCTCCTGCAGTTCCCCTTTTCAGGCTGAAGATGGAGCCAAACTCACAGGAAAGTCCCCCGCAGGTCCGGTCTGTCCACAAGAGGATGTTTAACTTTTAGGAGCAAGGTTTTATCTTTAAAACATTAAGGAAATTTATTTCCTCATTGCAGTAGAACCCTAACTGGGTCATAAAATTAGCCATTAAAAACACTGGCCAACTTTTAAAAATATTTTTTGTTTTGTCAAAAAGTGACGAGTTAATCTTTTATTGACTTATTGTCCAAATGTTGAGGCATTCCACGTGTTCTTTGGGCATTCCTTTTATTGTTTGGTTTTGGTTTTTACAAAAAAAGTTATTTTTTCTTTTTTAGTCATGGTTTTTCTTTTTGTTTTACAAGAAAACCTTTTTACTTTGAAACGACTCAAAGCGTGTGAAGAACAGAGCTGAAAACAAATAAACTGGTCTGGACTGACTTGTGTGTGCACTTGTTTTTGTTCCTGTCACAGCGCTCTTACTAGAARTGGCGTGTCTTTTGGTAAAGATAATATCACAGCTAGTGTTTGGGTTTGTTTTAGGTACATACAGATGTGAAACTGTCACAGATGTTCAGAGGAAGTGTTGAAGTTACCAGCACCCCAAGATTAGAGGTTTCATTGGTGCATTTTGTCACGTTTGTTTGCATCATTTTGAATTTAACTTAATACATATAGTCTTGGCTTTCTTAAACATCCTATTAGAAACTTAAAATTGGGTTTTATTTATATATATA